TTTAACATTGAAAAGGACATACTATATGACTAGTTRAAGTAGTAGAGAATATTCTAAAATGATAGTTAAAATGTAATTGGAGATTTGTTGAATAAAGACAATAGAGTTGCATGAATTTAGAATATAAACTAATTTCAGATATCACTGGGTTTACAGTAAATAAACAGAGGTTGGSAGTGATGRTGTTTGTCTTCCCAAGTCACCACARTGGGGTACASGATGGAGTCCTGCTTTCCTGGGGATGGCTGTAGAGTCTCCCTCATTAGAGATATTCAGGAACCACCCAGACACAATCCTCTGCAAGGTGCTCTGGGATGATTGTGCAAGAGCAGGGAGGTCAGACCAGATGACCCACCGTGGTCCCTTCCAACCTTGTCTATTCTGTGACTCTTGGCTTCAAAAAATTGCTGTTTGAGTCCATAGCTATATATCCATATAGCAGTGCCTGCATCTAAAAGGCAGTATTTCAGAGACTACCTTAGCAAATATTGCTGCATGGGGCTCTGGGAAAAAGTTATTAGTGTCCATAGATACCAGCTCAGGAGAAGAAAAAGAGAAAAAAATCAGATATCATGGTCYCTTGCAAGCAGCAGGGAGGAAGTTATCCAATAATATCAGCAAAGTKTAATAATACCAGCATTCACAGAGCATGAGTAAAAAGCTATAAAGATGGCACAAAAGAGAAATGTTTGAGGGAAAACTGGTAACCCAATTGTGAGAATGGGGATTTATCTGCCTCAAAAGCTCAAYTGAGCTTTCCATAAACCTGTGGAAAACTCCTGAAGAAGAGAATAGCATAAAGTTTAAAAGAATTAGACTGCCTTTTATGGAAGAATAAGAAGCTGAAAAGAGCCAATAAAGYTGAAAACCTATGCATATATCAATTACTTCCGACAGTAGTTAAAAAAATTTTTGTCATGGAAAGATAATGAATTTATATAAATAGAAGGAAAGATAATAAAAAAAAGTTAGCTTCCATTTTTCCTGAAACATTCATCACATTTTTCTCAGAGGAGTTATAAGTAATAGAAGATGAGTGGATACAGTTTGAGTTTATTCCCACAAAAGAGTAAAGGAATTACTAGGTTACTAATGGTAATTATAGAAACTTTAATAAAAACTGAGTAAAGACTGTCTTTTTTAAAATTAAAAGTATGTCACCCCATTGGTCTCATGAAGAAAKTTTATGCTTTAGAAAGAAAAGAAGCAAAAGCAGGTAAGGAATTTGACACTGTTTTCAAAGAGAGCAGGATCTTTCACTGCTGTACATTGTCCAGTCAGTCTGACCCAGCAATAAAACAGATCCTTCCCACCTGTGACTCCTGAGTTGCCACATAAATTCCATTTAGACTTTTCRCTGGGGCTTTGTCATACAAACAGCAAAGCTGCTTTGGTGTGATGGTTTCRTGATATGGCTTCTGGAAGGCAGTGAAACAGACCCTGGAGATGGAAATGTCACAGTGTCATTTTGAAGTCCAGCTGTGGCATCCATGTAGGTTTGTTCAGCAAGGAAATAAGAGTATTCTAAGATTGCCAAAGACATTTTTTGTTCCTGAGCCATTCTTGGAGCGTTCCTTGCCCTCAGCTCACTGATCTATACTGTTCCCAGGCAATAGATTTTGGTATGGAGCTCCAGGTGACTACACTGGGATTAGAATAATGGATAAAATAGATACACTCACTAAATACCAGTGTGCTTATTTTTGCTTTTGGACATACCCAAAATAATCAAACAGATATGTCGAAGAGGAGTATTTTCCACTACCTGTGAGGGGAAAAATCCTTCAGGAGATGGCTAATGACAAACATTTTTCCATGTCTGATATATCAGCAGGATTCTGGCACTGCCCATAGGAAAAATCCCCATGTCTGTGCACATTCAACACACCCATAGGGAGACACTGTTTTTTTGCAGACTGCCATCTCAGTTATGTTTGGCACATATGCTTTTCATTGGAAAATAGAAAATGTTGGTGGTATGCAGCACACTAAACAGTACACTTTCTACTGGGAGGGRAATGAGAAGAGAATGACTACAAGGTCATGCAGCTATGGAAAAAGCTGGAGATTTTGAGAATAGCTAAAAAAGTAAAAAACACTTYTGTGTAATGAAAATAGCAAACACGGGGAGAAGTTTACATGGTAAGATCTGCAGGTAGATCACAGTAAGTATGCAGAATTTGTCAACACATCTTATCCTGCAAGCAAGGAGAAAATACGTAGATCCTCTGAAGAATGATGCAGAAAAAATGGGGTCAAAATAAATTCCAACTTAAAGCAGGCAGCCAAGGGTCCTACAGTGCCTAAACAGACATAGAGATATTAAAAGTTTACAGAAGAYAGAATGTTACTTAAATAAYGCACATTATTTATTCACCTCTGCATGTATAGTAGCACACTCTGTGCTGTATTTTATGTTCTAGTACAATGGTATGACCAAGTGTAGACACAGTTACCGTGGGAGATAGTGAAAGTGAATTTCAATACATTCAGTTAAAGAGGAGACTTTGGATGTGATATGGGTGAAAAAATATCCCATCATTATTTAAGGCCTTTGTTGGTTGAACCTACCATCACCTCAAGTGTTGCCAATGTTTATTAAAAACTGTAAAACAGCACTCTGAAGCTGTAGCTGCAGATGTATGGACTGCAAATTGACCAAAACCTCATCGCGGTCTTCGGCTTACAGACATACTTTCAAACTTTTTTGACAAAAAAATGCAGTGGAGCAAGTCCAGTGCTAGCTTTCACAGACAAAATCAAATAAACCTGTCCTGYCTCAGATGAAAAGAGGATTCAAAATGATGGAGCTAGAGCTCAGGATGAAATCCCACAGAAAATAAAAACAGCTATAACCACTGCCAAGTTGAGCAAAAATAATGCCAATTGCTATTATCTTTTAAAAACTCTTTATGTTGYTTTCCATTACATGTTTTCATGATGTTTCTGTAAAGGAGTGTTGTATGTGTAAGGAAKGCAACTATTACAATGGTCCCCGAGTGAAACACAAGGCAATATGTCAAAGACACGGAAAAACTCGTCCAGATGAAGAAATAATTTTCAGATTATTGTGTTACTGACATGCATGAAAAACAAAAAAAAAAACAAGAGGAAAAAATGCACCAAATTACAACAAATAAATGTCTGTTGTCAAAGTCACCGGGGATTTAGAGAATTAGAGATTAAGGCAGAACTTGGTTTAACTGGGCTCTCAGCCACTGCASGATTGAAGGTGAAGGAATTTGTCTGTCTCTTTCCTAGGCTGCAAATGGCTACAATGCCACATTGACTACCTGTGGGCTATTACCCTGTGGACATGTACCCTGTTGGCATGCTAGACACTTCCYCAAAAAATAAAGAAAAAAAAAATTTCCTGGTTTACACATGAGGTTCTCAGCCTGGCCATATGCAATGACATCATGGTACACCAAAACACAGCACTGCAGTAACATGAGGACTTGCTGTCTCCTGGCAAGAGTGATGTCATTCCTCCTGCTGTAATCCCAGCTTAGAGCACCTCATGTTATGTCTGAATTGTGGATTCCACAGCTGCTTTCAAGCTCCCACATTCCATTTGCACCTACTCTGTGTATCAGTGTGAGAGCTACAAACTCATCAGCTTCTCCATGTTCTGGTTCYTGTTGGTGCAAAATCAAAGCATGAAGGCCTGAGGGAATCCATGATTAGAAAACGGGAGGACTGAGAGAGGGCACTAAGTGGAAATCTACAGTAATCAATTCTATTCCATTCTCAGACCCAGATRGAAGGACAACAGACAGAAAATGAAAAATAAGATAGAGGATTGATGTGTCTCAGCATTGTCTTTCCAAAAGCTGCAGCCCAATTTATAGATCATGAGAAAGATGGGAAGGAAACAAGATAGAAAGAGAGAAAAAGAAGCAAGTCCATCAAGAAATAAGAAATCAGGCAAAATCACATTATTTTTGTCATGGTCCAAACAATACTGGGATCACATCAGGGAGAGACTAGCAACAACAATGAGTATTGTTGCTCAGATACTGATGTTTGACATAATCCTTTTACAATTGCCCAGAGACTGCCAACAGCTTGTGCTGTATTTATTCAGTTGTTCATAATATTAATCCCAAGWTTCTTTAAACTTCTACATCAGAAACAGGTGTGATGAAAACCTAATAATGTTATTACACAAAAAAAAATAGTATACTAGAGAAAATGCATGGTGGCATTCTGAAAAAATCTGCTCTTTCTTCTGTCTTCCCTATATTCTGTAAGATTGTGTCCTCCTAGCTGAATCTCAAAATGATAYACAAAATAACTTTGGGTCATGCTGAATTTTAAGAAAAGTCATTTTTGTGTGTYCAGCTTGTGGCGGATGAACCAAAGAGAACCAAGGATTCACACACTGAGTTTGAATATCTTTTGTGATGCCAAGTGTTAACATTTTAAAAAATGCCTTTTTCTTCCTCCCTCTGTTCTCCCTTGTCCTCATGGTGTAGTTTCCTTTTTTTCTTTTACAAATTTCTGGTTTTTACTTTCAAATGTAGCTTTTCCAGCTTTGGTACCACCTTGGGAGGAAGAATTCAGGAACTCTTTTTCTGACTGTAGCATGGTTCTTTCCATGGAAAACACTTGGTCAATTGACCGTCATGCCTATGTGATTTTCTGTGCATATCTCTTTTGGTCACATCTCAGATTTTTTTCTTGGCCAGAGGTACATAAGAAAATATACCCTGAACACTAACTCTGATGAAGAGTTCCACCTCTCAACACCAAAAGACAGGCTTCTATCCATGTAAGTGGATACATGAAGACAGATTTCAAGTATATAATGGAGCTCAGACGTAAATCATATGCACTTATATAAATATTTTCAAACTGAATTAAAATTCAATTTAAACCCGTCTTTTACCATCTCCCTGAAAACTTGTCTTCTCCAGGGTAGATATAGGAAAAAAAACAAAACAACAAAAGACGCCTCAAAAGAACATAAATTGTAAATATTGATAATTTTACTTATTTATTTAAATGCATAGATGTTACAAAATAGATCAAAATGATGTACAGTTTCAAAGCATTAGAAGTTGAAACAGGAATACAAATTTATATCTCAGGTATAACATATATATATAGCATCATATGACAACATGAGAGAAATGATACATTGATAAGTTCACTGCAACATATGTTAGACAACAAGCTTTCTTCTCCAAAAAACCAGATACAACCCCACCCACACAAATATCAAAAAATCTACACAAGAAAAGTGGAAATAGATAATAAGAAGGGGGAAAGAGCATTTCACTCTATAAACACTGAACATTTTTTTTGCATGGATTCAGATAAAAAAAAGCATAGAAATATACTCATTTTCCAATCCCCAGCATCTTCAAGCCTCAGAAAAGTCTTACCCTGCTGCTTATGGAAAAAARCATCTGTAGATGGTTTGCTTCTTAAATGAACCCTGCCTTTTAGCACCTTTTCAATTACATTAGAGCACCCTACATGAAAGAAAGCTGTTTAATAACTCCTCAGAGCTATTGATTCCAATATTASCATTCACTCTTAAAGAAGAATTTCATTACTTTAAACATCACATCTAAGATACTTCCTGACTTACATGGTGATCTATCGAAGCTGAAGTGAGTTAGCAGCATGATGAACAGCCAGTGATTTGAATGACAATTGCTGTTGTGAGCTAAACATATAACCTGAGAGATATTTCCCCTTTCCTGCTGGCCAAAATAACCCTAAATACAATGTATATGCATTGTCAGTATGAGGGATTTTAAAGAATTTACAATCTGATTACCAAATGATAATGTGCCAAAATCTTCTTCCACTCTGAATTTTGTCTTTTGGCAGAAGAAAAGGAGATGATGAATTGCAACCATTTCAGTCTGGRTTTCTCACAGATCACACTCTGGGGAATTCTGCAGAATGTGGATAACAATCAAAACTTTCTATCTGTTCTACTGACTTCTGTGAATTTAAAAACACATTGCCTTGTAATTATTTTCTGAGAGAAAATAACTCTGAGGGAAACTCTGTTCTGAGGGAAAGTTGGTAAATGAAGGTTAAGTGGCAAGACAGTATTAAAATTACTGATAGTAATCAATTTTGTTATCATTTTTTGAATTAACCAATTTGGCTGTTGCCCATCTGTTGAATTAATCAGATAGGYCATTGCTATTTATTCTTGATTTTTTCAATTATTTTCTACTGACAGAAAGCAGTTTGAGAAGGTTATTGCTATTTCAGGTTTCTATTGACAGAATTTCAACATTCTTCTTGCAAATTTAAATAAGAAGGTTTGTGCACATTGAGATCATCAGATTCCAATTATGTATGATCTGAGAACCAGAGCACACAAATTTTCAATTATGAAGTTTTGAAAAGCACCATAAAAATTTTGTGTGCCAGGATTCCAAGATCATCTCATTCTAGAATAAGAAAGCAAAAGTTAAAAAAAAAAAAAAAACCTTAGCAAAAATGGCCAGATTGTAACAGTAATTTGGGCCTTTAAAATTTTATTAGGGATGGTCATAATTTAATATCTGAATAAGGAGACTTCCTGATTTTTAAGAACTACCTCTGACTTAAAACTTCTAAAAAATCTTCTGTCATCTGAATAAGTTTTTACCTCATACTCATAAAACTTGGTATGTTAGGTAGCCATCAGCTAATAAAACTGTGATTGAGTTCTGTACTTACACATCACGTAAAACTAAGAAATGGAAGAGTTGTGCACTGCACCTCTTTTCTCAAGGGAAACAGACAAAGTCATGTGTCTCTAAAATCAAGGCTGAAAACTTCAGATTTGCATTTGTTTTCAAAAAATCCTAAACCCTCCTGGATTCCTATGTAAAGCATAGTGGCATTGTTATCCACAAGAGGGCATCCATGCTTACAGCCTGATCCTCGCAGAGAATCTATAAGCACATGTATCTGCCTACCCATYCATCCACCTACAGATACAGATATGGATTTAGACACAAATCTATTTATGTCTGTGTGATCACTTTTACTCTGTGAGATTTCCTCTTTCAGAGCCCCATGGTATTTCCCAGTGTGGATAGGGGATGGTACATGAAGTGCCATTCATAAAGCTCTCATGGGATCCAATTTTTTCATTCCTTTAGAATGAACCTATTAAATATTAAATCTCCTATTGTTTTCACTGAGCTCTGATCTGACTCTCCTGAAAATCAGAGGGAAACAAACTGATCTTAAACCATAGATCCCAAGGATAAGTGCAAGGTCAATCCCAGATTTTCTGAAGTCATTTATTTTTCAGAGAGAGGATGTGGAATCACTAAAAGTTGCTCAGCATCAATCTGAAGTCATGACTCTCAAAGTTCTTACTTTCTCCATAATTTGTTCCACAGGCACTTGCCTGTTGTGATGAGGGGAGGGTGCTATTTGTTTTGGTTTTGAACTGGAATACATTTTCCTCTCCAGTGCACACAAAACTCTCCTTAGAGCCTGAAACAACCATAAAAAGGAACTTTGAAAGCAAATCTRACCTAGTGGTAAGTTATATGCTTAGCTGAAAAAGGTCTCACAAACACTAGAGAGTATATAGTAATACTTCCAACAAAAAAAAAAACCTTTAACTTCAGCACCAGAACACAGAGGTTAGCACCAAAAGGTATCAATTGCTACCGATCATCTTAGATGTTCAAATGAGGCAAAAAGTCACAGATAGGTATAATAAACAGCTGCACTCAATAATTAATTATATCAACTTTGTTATATCATTTTTTACTCTTATGCCACTCACAGTATTTTGACCAAAAATATTTTTTGCCTTATTTTAGCTCGTGCATACTTTTACATACTTTTATATTTAGAAGTCTGCACTAATTTCTCKGTCTTTAAAGACCCACTGCTCTGCTGAAAAAAATTAGTACTTCAAGGCCATCAGAATAGCAACTGGAGGTAGTTTGCCTCAGCATGGCCTTGRACTCATCAAAAATTTTTCTCAGCATGTATTAGAGCTGCCAAAGACATCTGAAGTCTTCTGCACATTTCAGCTTTTTTTTTTTGTAGCAGCGCTTGGTGTCAGGTAGYCAATCAGGAAGCACTGGCACTGGCAATCAAAGTAGAGCTTTACTGGCATTGTCATTACCTGGCCCAAGAGAAAAAAAAGATAATGGAAATTGGGCAATTCAAATAGGCAATACAGAAAGGCCTTCTACTTTAAAGGGGAAATTTCATGTGGCAATCAAATATCTGATGATCTGTAATCCTCTCTGTTGAAYGAAAAACATTCAGCTAATGCTTGAGTGCTTGTGGCTGGTTTTATCAGGAGCTGCTCGTATGAAATAGCTTATTTTCAGATAATTTTTGTTGCTGTCAATTACAGTGTGATTACAATTGTTAATCCCTAGCACCATTATGGGATGTTGTGAAAAAAACCTGCATACCTGTTTGCTAAAAGCAAAGTTTTCTATATTCACAGAAAACAAAATATTCCACAAAGTCAAGGTACTTGTAGCAACTTCAAAAGTAACAGATACAATAACATATATACCCGTGATAATAATTTCAGYTGAATTACAGAATTATAAATTAATTTACAATGTCTAGTCCTGTTTGGAAAGTGTACCATACAAYATACAAATTGCAAGTTTCAAAGTGCATAGTCATTTACTGTTAGACCTACTGTTGTAGGCTCCATGGCTTAATCTGAACTTTTTCTCATGTTCTGCTTCCTGTCTTGTATCTTAAAAATAAAAATACTGAAAATGGCTAGATGCACTGCTTTAACTGTGCTATCTTTACCTCTATAAAACATTTCTTATGCAGAACAAAAATGCATTTTGCACATGCATCTTTGTCAAAAACTGTGCTGGCTGAGGAGCTAGTGACACACCAAGCAGTTTTATCTTACTCAGTTATTTCAGTGTGTACGTAGATAATGCAAAGAGGTTGTCTTTCACTCCCAAAACAGGACTGGATTTTATTCTGCTGAAGTATTTGACTGACTGAGTATTGTTCAAGTCCAAACTCCTTTGAAAACAAAAGGAAAAATATTGTACCTGTTAGGATAAGAGTTAGCAGAATATTACAAAGAGTTATCCTTTTAGAACATGGACACATTTAAAGGCAATATGCCTGTCTAGTTCTTGTCCTGTCAGATACAGAAGTGTCACTAACCAGAAATATCTGAAGAGCCACAGATCAGCTGCCGACATTCTCTGAGGGATCAGATTATGGATAGCTAGAGAGGGGCTGCTACATTTCATACACTATAGAGCCTGTTCCAGATATCTTGCTGGAGAAAAAGAAAAACTACCCTGAAGAATTCAAACTCTCATCTGTCTTTTTATATCACCAATATGTCACTTCATATTCTGGTGACAGACTGTCTCAAATACCCTCAAAAGACTGAATTAGTGACTCAAAGACACATACACATGTCGCTCTAGTGAAATTATCCTCTGTTGTTCCACTTGCTCTGCTCAGTATTGCTTTTCAAAGTTCATAAATTTCAGAGGTCTAAATGTAGCAGTGCAAGCAGACTAAACACTTATATTTAAAGTGGAGTACATTCTGCCCTGTAACATAAAGCCAAAACTCGAGGCTATTTCAATGACCTAGTAGTTGTGGCAGACATTTGATTTCTTCTTTTTCATAATCTGTTTTTCAATAAAAGTACCTGTATAATGTCTCTAGTAAGCACCCATAAGGCATTCAGGTTTTGGCAGGAAAGTTTTTGGCAGATTTGGTTTTCAATAATGCACACAGATATTTTCAGGAAACTGTGCAATATGTTTTAAAGGACACTGACAATTGCTTTAGAAATTTGGAATTTTTACAACAAATCTGTATGAACTTYTAAAGCTTCCTAATGTCTTTTATTTAGAAATCTTACCAACTTTTAGGTCTGATCTCTCCTGATTCTCAACTGAGTTTCAGTCAGAGAGATAAAATATATACCGGGAAACTTACAGTGTAAAAACCACTATGGGTGTCACGTATTGATGGATGTTGCTTTGTAGCAATATATTTCTTCCTGTAAAAGAATAAATATACTCCTGCAAAGCACCATTATAGAACCATGACTGCGCTCAGAAATACAGGAAGGTAGAGTCAAGCTGTGCTGTTACACCAGTATTTTTTACGTGATGTAGCTTTCTGTCTAGATAAGACTTTGGGCATGYGAATTAACAGCCACAGCATCTTGGCCAGTGCAGCATCTTGGCCAGTGTGGTTCCTCTTTCTCTCTGATATTCCTGTCTGCAAACAGACGTGTGACAGCAGGAGCCGTGTGCTGAACCCTTGAAACACCTTGAAGGAACTGAGGCTGTGCATGAGGTAGGTAATATCCYGCAGTTTCTCTTGCACACATGTTTTCCTCTGCTCAGTGTCCCATCGACATTGCAGGTGAAAGCACAGGTGTAAACGGGAGGAACCATTGGGAGCGTGAGGACAATTTGTTGCTTTCCATGTCACACTCCATTTTTAAAGCGCAGTAATAAACAATGACCCTTCTCTTTCTGGACCTATTATTTTGAAAAGGAAGTCACATTCTAACTTTTGATGTGCTTTTAACATAATCTAATCTTCAGGAAGCTATACTTGCTAAGGTTAAAATTAAATTCTCTCCTTTAAACAAAATCTTAATCTAAAAGGGATAAAGTGAGTCTTAAATCCCGAAGTGTTAAAACCAAATTATACTGTACTTTGAAAGCTAATTATACAAAAGCATACAAAAAGAAAACATCAAAGTATTATTACAATATCTCTCTATATATAATATGTGCAAAATTTAATACACAAGCTTCTTGTTACTCATCTGTGGGTTTTCTTCAAAATAATGTAAACCTTAACTTATTTAAACCAGTATAAGTAGTTTGATGTTACTCCTGGGAAACAAAGATTGTCGGTACAAGAACCTCCATAGCTTGGAGGACAAGCTGAACATGGAACTCCTACTTTATATGGTGCTTCTCCAATCCAATTCCCCCTGAAAACAAAAAATGAAAAAGAATGCTTAATAATTTCAAGAGTGGAAGAAAACAAAAACATTAACCATGCTTGTTTTGAGCGATTAAAGTTAATGTCTCCCATGATATCCCATAAATGCTCTACKACTAAAAACGTGACATTAGTTTATTTCCGTACTTTACTAACAAATATTGATCTACCAATTCCCAAAAAAMCAGCAGGAAAATGACCATTTCAATTCAGGCCAATGATACCCATTACACATCCTTTAGTCTCAGTGGTGAAGTCTCAGTCTCCTTGCTCTTGCTACAACTGATTTTTGATTCTCTGATCCCGTGGCAGAGTATTTTTTTTACTGGAGGTCTCTATTTACGAAAAATTAGCAAAATAAGAATCAGTACAAGACTTTCCTCGAGCACACTTTAGTTTGGCAATTACTGAGTGAAACCTTATTCTTAGGTTGGACTACCCTAGGCTCCCATTGTGAAGCTCTGAGGCTGAATTCATGGTAGAGAAAAAGGAGGGTAAAAACTATTTGCACCCATAATGTGTTAAAAGGAACTGGACTGGGGCGTTTCCAGAGGTCTCACAGATGGGAATGAGGGAGAAGGAGGGTGAATAGAGGTGTGCAATAAACCCTAGGGGGAAAGGGGTACAAAGTCTGGAGAGTGATCACATGAAAAGAGGTAACTCTGAGACATCTAGGAACATCTGAAAAATGCATCCAGACTTTTAGGAGTTTATATAAACCACAGGCTTTTAGAGAATCATTAAACACTCATGATGTAGGCAGAAAGTTAAAATTAGATTTTTRTTTAAATGTTGTGTCTCACAGAGCGGAGAACTTTCCTTTAGTTTGCATGTGACGTGGAATAGCAGTGAGTAATGCAATTATTTATGAAACATTTTGTCATCCCCCACCTCCCCGCCAGTAACACTGGATCAAAAGCCCTGGCCTGGGTTGTGCCTTGGAAGAAAGTAGGAATCTCTACTAATTTGCTCATTCCTACTTCTCTTCCAAATAGGTACAGCAGACTAAGTGCTCAGGAAATGTATTTAGTCTGATAACAGATATGGAAATTCAGAGTTAGCTTTATTTCCTATGGAACACGTGGCCGATTTATGGCAGTCTGCTACATAATCAGGAGCCTTTCTAAACTTTGCAATTATCCTCCTTAACTTTAGGGTTTTTCCCCTCATTTCAGAAGCATAAATATTTCTCAATGTTACAGCATGGCATCAGTGAAAATTACTGGAGTTCTAAATCCTAAATCTTTGCCAAATTCCAATCTTAATAACTCAGACTGGGGTTGCAATATGCCCTCCCTTCCTCCTTAGAGGAGTTTCTGATGTGATGGTTACTCAGAAAGACACAAACTTACTGAGTGGCAAAGAGATTCCTGCATGTGTGCCCAAGGACTCTAAGCCCAATGTCCTTAACTCAATTAAATCTTGGAAATACAAACTTAATCCAGGCAAGACCACTCAGTATCATTTTTGTGACCCCACAAGAAGTAGATGGGAAAATAATGATTTCACTTCCTATGACTGAAAGGTCTACTCTAAACCTCAGAGAAAGAGCTTTCAACGCCAGGGTTTAGTTTGCTGTTTCAGAAGCAGTGGGACCTTTAGACTCAGAAAACATAAAATGTCATTAATTCATTGTTAACTGATACACAAATACTAAACCATTTTCCAAAACTGACTGATGTATAAATTCATTTTCTTCCTATATATGAAGATCAAGGTGTATTCTAGAAAGTTTTTAATATTTAAATTTTTTTTCAAATGAAGATAAATTTAAAAAATCTCTTAGAAACTCTGATTTCATCTTTTCCATCTTGTAGTGCTAAAAGTCAGACACAATTTTTGCTGCCTTATCTTTCCAAAAGTCAGACACAGCTTTTGCTGCGTAGTATTTGTTCCCTCAYATTCATTTCCAACCATCCTTTTCCAGTAAATATTAAAAACAAAAGGACAGAGAAATTTCCTTGATTTCCAAAGGCGTTTTTTTTTTCCCCCAAGTAAATTTTCTTACTAAAGCCCACATTTTTTTTAAGTTGCAAAACCTTTAAAAATTCTTTTACTCATGTAACAGCTAGAATAATGACATATTCTTGCATATTCTTTACCACAAATGGACCTGTGCCACTCCCACTCCAAACCAGGAGTTTATGGAAAACATGCTCCATGAATTATRCTTAGATTCCTATACAGAACGTTGTCTTTGCCTAATATACAGTCAGAAAACCAACCCAGCCACTTACACTGTCCATGCGGCTTTTGCAACAGTGCTCCAAACCAAACTGCAAACTGTCGCTCCTCCAGAGCCACACTACTGACTCATTCTGCAAATGTAAGCTTGGGATGATGTCTAGGAAATGCTGGGAGAAAATTAATTTCTGCATTTCAGAAAAATTCTATCGCAGACCTCTGCAAGCTGTGGGGTATAGGGCTGCCTATGGGTGCCCATGAGCTGTATTTTAACAGATCCTAATGTGGAAGGCAAGATGAGATAGATTTGCAGACAYGGAGCTTGGGCTGATGAACTTTAAATGTAGCCAATGCTGTGGATGTCATTATGTAGCATGGTCATAAGCAAAGACGTCCTGTGGGAAACAAGGTGTATCATGGAACAAATCACAGAACGGTTTGGTTTGGTTTGGAAGGAACCTCAAAGATAAATCAGTTCCAACCCCACTGCAATGGGCAGGGAACCTCTCACTAGACCAGGTTGCTCAGAGCCCCATCCTGTCTTAAATACTTCCAGGGATGGGCAGACCACAACTTCTCTGGGTAAACTCTTTCAGTGCCTCACCATCCTCACGTTTCTTCCCTAATGTCTAATCTAAACCTAGCCCCTTGAGATAAGGTMATTCCCTCTTGTCCTATCACTACATGCCCTAGGGAAAAGTCCTCCAGCTTTCCTGTAAGACCACTTTAGGTACTGGAAGGTTGATACAAAGGCTTCCCGGGCTGCTCTGATAATTCATATTGAGCTTTTCATGCATGAACACCCACAAGCTGTTCTCCTYGTAGCTGTTACCAATCCATTCTCTACCCAGCCTGAACCTGTTCTTGGGATTGACCCGATCCARGTATGTTTGGCCTCACAGAACTTCATAAGGTTTGCACAGGCCCACCTCTCARTAAATCAAGAGCCTGATCTCCAGTGGAATTGCTTACCTGAGGAAGTCTAGTTTACCACACCTATGTGTAATAGAGTGAAGAAATAAGAAATTCAAAGTAAAGTGAAGTCAGCACAAAGAAGGGAAAACAAAAAAACTGCAATAACAGAAAACAAACTTTTTGTTTTGCTCCACACACATCAAGTTGATTCCTTTTTTTCCTTGTACACCAAAGTCATACATTTCTGTAKGTTCAGATAGAAAGCTTGAATAAAGGAGCAGCCCACAGAAAAAGCACAWACAGAAGTCATGCTGCAGAAAAAGGAGTAAGCTGTCCTATGAGAGGACCAAAACATGCACAAAGTACAAAAATAAACAAAAATAAAAGAGAGCAACTCACTTTGGGGCATAGTTGCATACCAAGTAAACAGCTCGTCGCCAAACAGATCCCCAGACGTTCATATTGTGGCACGTGTGGATTGCGCAGCCTATACGATTGGAAGTGGCCCAAACCATCTGAATAAATATTTATTATTGGTGAAGTCCAAATTGAAAAGAAATATACACATACATATATTTATWTATATACACATACATTTATTAGAGAGAGGGGTATAAATACATCACAGGAACGTCCAGCTTTGGACATGAGATTTTGAATAGAGGAAAGTAATTTATATAACCTGTGTGTAATGGGTGCACATGGGTCCATAACATCGCATCGGGCACCTGGGGTTGCAGTCCTGAGGATAAGGGAAAGCATAATCCTTCACTTCATCGTACCATGGCTTTACCAGCTGGAGAATAGATCGATACCTGGGTTTGTTTAAAATACAGAAAGAAAAACATTTTAGATTTCTCCTCACATCACTGGGGGTACAGCATTAAGCAGTAATATTACTACACCAAATGAGCATAGACAGATACAGAACATAAAATACTGGATGACATTTGCATCAGTTCAAGATCTGGATCTCAAAAGTTGTTCAAAGGCTGGCAAAATAACTGCTTTGCAGGGAGGGTATCCTCTTACCTTCCAGTTCTTACAGACAGGTTCTGGCCCAAAAATCTCAGAAGRTAGGAAGGTCCATGGTCCCAAATGCATGTAGCAGCCCAAGCCTCAGCAGATTTGGCAAGAGTTTCATCCCAAACCTGACAAAAAAAAAGCATCCTTAGCAGTAGGACATAAAAAARCAGAAAGCAATCATAGTGCTAGAACAAAAGCAGCAAGTATCTTATCCCAAGATAACACATCAGATCTGGAACTAGGCAGAGAACTGTGGGGCAGCAYGTACAGGATCCAGCGGGATGTGCCCTATTGCTGGACAGAATTCCTGCCCACATCATTAGAGGAAGACAAGTATTCCAATCTCTCCCTTTTTTTCTAGAAAAGCCATTCACCAAAGGCATTCTYCTACCATTTTCCCTTCTGTGTTGATGAGATCCATGTGTGGAGAGGAGTGAAATGTTGGCTGGGACTCAGAAAGTGAAGGAGAGGGAAGAACAATTCAGCATAGGTATTACATACCCCACAAAACCCCAACACATTTGAAACAGGACCTTAGGAGTATCTATAACCAGAGACAGTGTTTGTGGCAGCTCTTCATATTTGAGGTCATAAGGTCAAGAAAAGGGATTCCACAAAGGCAAAGACTATGGACAGTTTCCAGGTGCAGTATGGATTTCACTACTTTATTCTGCACAAGAACTGACATTGCTCACTGCCTGAAATAAAAAGATAACAGMTCTGTAAGAAGAGACAATTCGACTTCTTAAGTTCTCCAAAGTTTGGAACATGACAAGTGAGCTTAAACACTGTCTCCTTTATATGMTTTGCCTGCTCAATTACACGCCTGATTTGTAACTCTGCTGTTTCCTCCACAGCAAAACAGRCTTTTCTCAGGAATAATGGAGATATTGGCAACAGAACCTACTGCCCCACTGGAGATCCTGATAAAGAATATCTCACTGTTACACTACAAGGGCACACAAATTCTAGTATATCTTAGTGTTTGAGGGATACCCAAGAAGGTTGTAGATTCTGGAACTAGATGTATATTTTGAAAACCCCGAGTGGAGTGTTTAGGTGCAGAATAGTTGTGGTGAATTGCACCAGTAGRAAGGCAGGAAGAGAATGTGGTAAAATTGCCTACGTAGCCCATCACGGCTTTTTTAAATCAAACACAAACTCATAAATCCTGAATGGCTACGAAATAATAAGTATGTTATCTGAGGTATGAAATAAGAGGCAAAGTTAGAAATAAACTTACAAAGAATAAAATGGCCCCATCACAAATATTTTCTGTACTACAAGCTAATAATTATTTCTAACACTAAATTCAGTTTTAATTCTACAAACCTGCAGAGTGAAAAGATTGATCATTCATTAGTGATTCATGCCCTGACTCTAGCAGTTAGAGTGAGAAGGACAAAATTCAGTAATTTTTTTAAATCAGTAGACCATTGAACCAAGCTTTTGCGAATATAGGGTGGGTGAGGTACCTCCTAGATTAAAGGTGAAGCACAACAGACACTGGAAAGACCCTTTAACACAAATCATCTTCCATTCAAGCAGAACCACCATAGGGATGGTAAAATAGGTGGTGCTTAACTTCCAGAACAAAGTCAAAGCAAATTGCTCCAACAAGGACAAAGGACAGAAGTCTTAAGAAGGCTGCTACAAAGGAATAGTCTTCAAGCCAGGGAACACTGAGACTTCAGCTCTGAAAAATGACAGGAGTTTCTTGGAGGAGTTAGAGATAAAAAATCCAAAACCCAGGATATGCTCCAGAGCCCAAGGCAAAGAAAACTGCATAGACATTTCTTCCGCTTTGTATCTCTGCCATTAAGTTTACTAGCTGCATGTGGCCAGCGTACAAAAACCCCTTTATAATCCCTGTGGTGCAGCAGTGGTCCCAAAAAGAGGGCTTAAAGAGTAGGTTCAAACATTAAAGTGTGCCTGGGGAGAGTGCATGAGAGGCTGGGGCCACAGCCGGCGTCTGGAGCCGGCCCAGCTCCAAGGCAGCAGAGCAGCTCGTGGATCCAGCAAGTGGGTCCAAACACAGCTGCCTGGTGTGCATCCATACGGGGCTGCTCTGCCAGGACTGTGACACCCCATAAACACCCTYCTTTGCTGGGATTAATCACGCTTCTGGCACGAGTGCTCCTGCCAGGAGGCTGAACATGAGGTTTGCGTGCTCGCTCCCAAGTGACCTGGCTGCAGTCCCACAGCAATCTAAATGTGTTCTGTGTTCACACAAATAGCGCCGCGATCCCGATTTCCACACAGCACATTTTTGTGCACTGAAATGCCTCACAAAATAGCATGTTAGGTGTTTGAAAGAAATGTGAAGAATGGATTAGTTTTTCACTATTAACACTCTTTAAACAAGGCATAGCCCCTGCCTTGGACAGTGAGGGCACTTCTAGTWCACTTTCACTTCTCCTCAGCTTTATTTCTGGTTATCAGGAATCATCTGAAGCATTGGACTGGTAAACTTTTGGGGYGTTGTTTCAAACTCACTTAAAATGYTGTGAGTTTGTCATGTATAGTACACTCTGCTTTCCATTATCTATTCACTCTTGACCACTCTCTGGACAGATTAAATTTTTGGCAAACATAAAAAAAAAGATAAAGAGAAGGAAAATAATTACTAACCAAGGAGTAAGGGAGAGAGAACATATGCAGTATCTTTAAATTTCCTCTAGTCTTTCATCAGCAGTGGTGAAAAGCCTCTCTACAGATATTACTGCTATGAAAATAGTTTGTCTTTCATGGGAGTTGAGTGCCTTACTTTCCTTATTTTATTTTACTTTATTTTCTCAGAAGAAAAGGTGGTCTCAGACCTTCTAKGACCAGCTCTGGATGATCACTAGAAGAAAAGGCATTAGGAAGACCTTATAGAGTCTTTYAGCCCTTGAAATGAGCCTACAAGAAAGATGGAAAGAGACTTTTTGCACTGGGATCAAGTGTTAGAATAAGAGGGAATGGCTTAAAAATGAAGAAGGTTAGGTTTAGATTAGATATTAGGAAGAAACTCTTTACTGGGAGGGTGGTGAGGCACGGTAACAGGTTGCCCACAGAAGGTGTGGACACCCTTCCCTGGAACTGTTCAAGGCCAGGCTTGGTGGAGCTCTGAGCAACCTGGTCTAGCAGATGTCAATGCCCACAGCAGGAGGATTGGAACTGGATGATCTTTAAGATCCTTTTCAACCCAAACCATTCTAGGATACTATAAAAAGGCAAACAACTAATACACGCTGAAGGAGAAAAATAATATCTCATAATGACCCAAAATATTCAAAATTGTAAGAGCCTGTGCCATTATTTCATCCTTTCAAAAGAAGTCTGATCCTGAGTCCACACTTGTACTAATTTTTATCTCAGCTCCATCTCCTGTTTAAGGCACATAAGAGAACAGAGCAGACATTTGGATTGTTGAACCCACATGGTTTCATTGTTGAACACAGATAAATAGCATATCACAAAATACAAATATATCTTAAAAAGAGAAACTTAAGTAACTTGAAAGTGAAAGGGACAGTTTCTGTATGAGGAGAAATTAAGAAGCTCAAGGTAATTAGCAAAGAATTTTTAAAAAGCAGAGTGATAAACAAAATCATAAACTCTGAAATGAYGGGCAATCCAGTGTTCCTATTAAACACATCCGAGAAAGCTGCCTGAYATTAACACAAAATTGCAAAAGGAAAAAAGGAGAAAGACTTCCATACTCAGTGGGTTAAGATCTAAGAAAGTGACTCATCCTGGAATGCTGATCATGCAAACTCCCAGTGCCAAACTATGATCATCCTCTTCCTGGAGACAGCTAATCTTCATTTGCTACACTGCAAGGATTGCAAGGAGTTGGGGAAGAAGTCACCTTCTATCCAGTTAAAGATCTTCCCCAAACTCCAAATGACTGATTTGGTCCAGCATAGAAACCTTCCCACTACTCAACTGGATCTAATGAACCACAATAGTTAAAACATGTCACCACACTTCCACTGACAACTCGAAATGAACATCCTCTGGCCAACTTATTTTTCTTTGTTGAGCCAAAGATTATTTTCCTAGAAAGCTGTCTGTCTCTGCTCTCTGCAAACAACACTTCCAAACTACATCTCACTTGAAAATTGTCAAGAGGACTGAACACATGGAACAGGACAGGGCTTCTACACTGGGAGTTTCAACACCAGAGGCCAATTTATGAGGGAGCTCTGGAGTGTTCTCTGCACTCACACAGCACATGCTTGCTGAGAATTAGGAGTAAAATCTTGACATTAATAAAACCTCTTCTCTGGAAGCACTCTGAAATGATTATTAAAGACAACAGATAGCAAGAATTTGTGATTTAAATACAAAGGGAACAAAATACACAGTTAGACATTGTATTAGTTATATTCTCTGTAGATATCTGTGTGCAAACTGGATGTTTTTTAGATGTACTCAAATTTACAGCGATTATTGTCAGAATGAAATGAAAAACAAAAATATGACAAAGATGTGATAAGTAGTAGTGCTACTTCTCTGACAGCAACAGCAGACAGACTGTGAGATAGAAGATATGGGCTAACTGTGAAGTCCATAAAGATATGTTTTTAATCTGGTAGTCTATGGATTGTGCTAATGATCATTGCAAAGCACTCAAGCAATCCAAACCCGCACTTTCATTCTTCTTTTGCCATCATGATCTTTARCCTTTCCCACCTCATTTTTATTGCCAGAGAGGGAGGCTCTCCTCACTTGCACAAGAACGCAAAAGAGCCTCAGCAGAGTATTGCTCTGGATATCAAACACCAGAAGCAGCCCTCAGTACCTCACTGTTTGGGTTTGGATTGCTTGTTATGTTGGTTTTTTTTAAATGATATATCAGCAAAGATTATATTACGCACACTTCCCAGTGGTAAAAACAAGTTCTTTAAGCAAAACATACACACCCTGGTCACTCACTGCCTTTCTAAGAATTCCCTGAGTGCCCATCGAGTCAGGGCTGCTGCCCATAATGCCARGACTGCTGTGGTGTGACCAGACCCTCAGCTGGCTGCCACCAGCTGTACAGCTGAAGTGACAAACGCTGGGTAGAGGTGTGAACATGAATCCAGAGCAGACAGGTGAAGTTCACTATTCTAACCGCTCCCTTCYGCAACAGCTT